GGGAGGTGACACAGAAAATCGCATTTAGATTGAAAATGACGTTGCAGTTGTGCAAAAGTTTGCTTTGGGTGGACATGCCCTCTGTTGGAATGTGAGCATTCACAAGCATTGAATGCCATGTTAGATTTTAAATTGAGCTTTCTGCCCTAAGTGAATGCCTGTCCTCCTCAGTCACTGAAGACATGGAGGTTAGTTTTAATTAAGGTTAGTTTTAATTAATGCAAACGAAAGCTACATATTGCTGTCCCTGAAGAAGCTGTTAGCACAAATTTGCAGGTTTGTTAAGTGAATTGCTTCTTCCAGCTGAGAGAAACTGACGTGGCCATGGAAAAACCAGTTAACAGACTGAAAACGTAACCAATTCTTATCTGTCTCCATGTTCATGGAAATGTTTTGTGTGCCATGAAAATATAGGTCAACACTAACACTGGTAACTATCCCCTGTGCACCCATGAAATGTTTCTGGTCATGGTTCTATCTCTGATGTGGAGCGTGCCGTGGAGGGTTGAATGCTGAGCACCAGTGTTCAGCGGCAGAATGGCGTTACATGATTGTGCCACCCGAGCTACTGTGAAATACAGCTGGAGCATCACTCCAGAAAAACTAGCTCTTAATACTCAACACTTTCTGTCTTAATGGATATTTTCTGAAGTTAGGATAATCTTCGAGTATGCAGCTCAAGAAAATTCTTTTCTGTTGCAAACCTGCCATTTTAGTGGTATTTTTAAGTGATTAAAAAGGACAAAAGCTTCCCCCCCACCCCCGGCAAGCTTTTATTTTTTCAAGTGCCTATCTTTTGATCTCCATTATTATTATATGGATACATAAGGAGTGATGATGGGAGAAGAGATGGAAGTGGGCATAGCGTCCACGTTGCCATGGAGACGATTATTTGGTTGACGGGTAGCTAGCTAAGAAGTGCATTAGGACCCAGGGAACGTGTGTTTCCCTGGGATGTTCTAGATGGCGCACTTTCCTTAGAAAAAAGGAAAACATCTGTGGTCTAGGGGAGGGAGTCTGAACACCCATCCACCAAATACGCAAATACTGAAACTCAGTACAAGGTCCCAAAGATCTATGTTAAATCGCCCACAGAATGGAGGCCCATTTTAGCCTTCCATTGTAGAAAAGTCACAGAATTCTTCAAGCATGACAAAAATGAAGTTATTTGTAAAAACATCTCCATCATCCCTCTGCTTCATTGCCAATAACGCCTTTCTCATTTCCAGCATCCTAACCAGATGATAGGCAACGACCGAGGACAAGAGAAACTGAGGTTATTACCGGGAGCATCAGATTCTAATCCCACTTTCCCATTACCATGATTCAATTTCCTCCATATTTCTAGAGGCAAATGATTTGCTACTTCCTGGGATGTTGTGGAACATGATCACTGTGATGGCTAAATGCAAAGTTATTTAGTAGATATCTGGGCACCAAGTTCACCAAGCAGGTAAGTGAGGAGCCAGTTTTTCAAGATTCCAATGCTTCGGTTGGGGCAGCGTCCTTAATACAGTCTTAAAATTGTGTGCAGTGTCAGGTCCTAAGTGACTTGACAAAGCTCACACTGCAATGCAGGAAAACCTCATTTTCAGACTCCCCAGTACACACAGAATTAATTTTTCTGAGTCGCATAACTGAGTCATGACCTAGTGATATATGATCTCCATTCCTTTTGCTAATATTAGAAAGCCTTTGGCGGACCTTATCCTTATTTCCAGATCCCAGAATGATTTCTAACTGCCTTATATCCTTAGGAAGTTCAAAGACACTTCGAAGCAGTATAATATCGTAGAGTCTGGACTGTGAGCTGATTTTAATCCCAGAATCTTTACCTGCATGTATGTGACTTTTGGCAAGTCTCATTTTCATCAAATTTATTACAGTGTGGATCAAATGAAATAATCTGCATTTAAACATCCTGTGAACTGTAAATACACACACAAGCAATAAAGTTACCATGAGGGCTTCTCTCTTGGTGGACAGAGTAGCTGGGAAGGGGCCTCCTTCCATTTGCAGTGACTGAGGTCTGCCACGTACTATTTTCATGATGCTTGCCTTACATACTTCTAATGCCAGTCAACACTGGAGCCACAGAGAGCTCTTTCCTTGTGAGCTTTAAATCAAAAGCACCATAGTTTTACTAGTGTTAGAAATTTGAAAGTGCTATAAAACCCAATTACAGAGAAATGGAGAAAATCAACTGAAGAAAGTAAATAAGATAATGTGAGTATATTCAAGCAATGGGCTAAAATGTAAAGAATACAGACCTTAAATTCCATACCCTTCTGACCCTAAGGCTATCCCCATTTGCATACATGAATTTCCATGTTTTTAGTGGTTTGGCCTCCTGCACAGCAACTTTTATTTGTTTGTATGGCAACCGCTCATCTCTGGAGCTAATGATAAACTTTGGTGACCATTTTAGACCTCCGAGAGAAAATTCTGCATTTATATGGCTGAAAAGTGTTGGCCAAAACTTGTCTTCAGCCTGTGTTTCATTACAAACTGTAATTTCTAGGTGCAATTTCTAGGTTCAGTCTCAGCTAAAATTCTAAGAAAGTTTAAATGAAAAATTCCTCTGCTACGTTTGTATTACAGATAAGAGGAAAGCAACACCTTTTAATTAATTTATTTATTTTAATTAATTTATTTATTTTTGGCTGCGTTGGGTCTTTGTTGCTGCGCACGGGCTTTCTCTAGCTGCTGCGAGCGGGGGCTACTCTTCGTTGTGATGTGTGGGCTTCTCACTGTGGTGGCTTCTCTTACTGTGGAGCACAGGCTCTAGGCGCTCAGGCTTCAGTAGTTGTGGCATGTGGGCTCAGTAGTTGTGGCTCGCGGGCTCTAGAGCAGTTGTGGGTGCACAGGCTTAGTTGCTCCGCGGCATGTGGGATCTTCCTGGACCAGGGCTCGAACCCGTGTTCCCTGCATTGGCAGGCGGATTCTTAACCACTGCTCTACCAGGGAAGTCCGAGCAACACCTTTTTAATCACAGAAAGAAAAGCACGGAGACTTTTCTTTTCAGGAGCTATTCAAGATTGACTGGGGTAGATGTTCGAACGCCATCATTCAGCTGGGAATAGAATTCGGTGCACACAGAAATGGTGATGGAATTTTAGATATGGCAGGTTCTTTCGATGTCATCTGGTCCAACATGTTCATTTTATTGTTGATAAAATTGAAGGTTCGGGATGCTAAATGACTTGAGAGAGGTCACCTGGCTAGTTAGCAGAGGGGCTGGGACCAGACCCAGGGCTTCTGAGTTGCAGTTCTGAATTCTGTCCATTCATTAGGCGTTTTGAGCAGGGATCAAAATCTGTCAGTCGTTTATGAACTATCTCCTAATAATATCAATAAAATGCTATTTAATCCCACATTTAGGAGAAAGCAGCACAAACACAATTGGTGCCCTTTTTAATTTCTTGTTCACTCATTCCCCTGGGTTAAATTTGTGGCATTCTGTTTTTGTTGGGGTTTTCTTGAACCAGAGTATAAGCTTGTTTTATTTCTTTATGAATGCGGCATTGAATTTTTTTAAAATTGAAGTATAATTGACATACAAAATTATATAAGTTACAGGTGTACAACACAGTGATTCATAATTTTTAAAGGTTATACTCCATTTACAGTTATAAAATACTGGCTATATATTGTTTTTGTTTTTGAACAGGACATTTAATGGGAAAAAAGAGCACAGGAGAGTCCCTGTATGTTTATGAGGGAGGGAGCCTGAAGGAGCAGCTGAGGGAGTACATTCGGTGGGAGGAAGCTACAAGGAATTTGCTAAGCCTCCTAGAAGCAAAGGGGACCAGAAGCCATCAGCCACCTCAACGGGAGCCCCTGGGCATTCGCCAGTCTACCTGGGATTCAGAGGACAGCAGCAACTTTAAAGACGTGGGATCGAGACTCAAAGGTATAATGAACATACTGGGGAAGTGGGAGTGGGGTGAGGAGGGGTCGGGGAGGTAGGAGGTGTTTGGGGAGACTTGGAAGGAGGGGAGGTTTGAGCAGGGAAGAATAAAACTGTTCAGAGGTAAGACTTCACAGCAACTACATCGGGCTGACATCAGTACACACTCAGAAAATGAGTGGCCAATCCTCATGCTAGCTTTTCTTTTCAACATCATAAATTATTTTTCCTCTTAACACATCAAACTCCAATTTAGGAGTTTTGTTAGCAATTGTGCATTGATAGGATTTTTTAGCCTACCAGACCCTTCCAAAATATTTTGATAGTGAGGCCATAGATTATTAGAGCTGATCCCTGTGGATCTATAGATATGTTTTTTTTTAAATTTATTTATTCATTTATTTATTTTTGGCTGTGTTGGGTCTTCGTTTCTGTGCGAGGGCTTTCTCTAGTTGCGGTGAAGGGGGGCCACTCTTCATCGCGGTGCGCGGGCCTCTCACTGTCGCGGCCTCTCTTGTTGCGGATCACAGGCTCCAGACGCGCAGGCTCAGTAGCTGTGGTGCACGGGCTTAGTTGCTCCGCAGCATGTGGGATTTTCCCAGGCCAGGGCTCGAACCCGTGTTCCGGGCATTGGCAGGCAGATTCTCAACCACTGCGCCACCAAGGAAGCCCAATATGTTTATTTTTGATGAACACTAGTGGAAGTGCCTATTCACAGAAGCTTTTGGAAGAGAGCATTCTTGTTTGCTACTTTTGATGCAAAATAGTACTCCTTCATATTTGTTCCAAGATTACCTAGTTCGGGTCTCATCCTAATATTTCAAAACTTGGTGAAAATATCTCAGGTCAACTGATCTGTCCAGTATATGATTTTATAGAGGATAGGGGAAAAGAATTATAACAAATTGGCATTGTTTAGATACAAAGACAGTAAATGAGATAGAAGAGAATAAAATTTATAGGAAGAAAGCAAGGCAACTGAAAATGATGTGATTCTCATTAACTTCTAAGAAGTTTCCATGAAGTTTATGATAAAAGGCAAAAACAATCATTACAATACTCCTAATAATAACAACTGCTAGTTTTAGTGAGTATCTTTTATAATCCAAGTACTGGGTGAAACACCTTACCTTCATCCATTTCCTCGGGTAATGCTCACAGCAGTCTTAGGAGAAAGATTCAGGAAGATTCTATTATTCTCTCCATTTTAGAGGTGAGGAAACTGAGACCAGTCGTGCAGCTTTTCAAGGGAAAAGCCCGTGCTGTCTGCCTTGGACAGTCCACTGCCATGTGAGGCATCTTCTGGGAATAGTCCTCACTGATCTTAAATATGAAGGATGCAGGATGCAGTAGCAGCTTTCCCTCTCGACGTTTCTGGCAATAAATAATATTGTGTTTCACTCACAGACCTTGGGGAGTTCACCACGCCCCTCTTTCATGGTGGGTGACTCTGATTGATGACCCTTTAACAGAGGCTCAGGGCTGGCGTGGCCAAGCCTCGGATGGTTTCTCCAGAGGGAGGCTTTATGTGTCACCACTCTTTGGTCTATTGTGGATTCTCTGTGCTAAATGCAGAGCAAAAAAAGTTCCTTTGTTGCATTAAGCACCTAGAGAGAAAGTCTCTGGTAGCCTTTATTCAGAAAGAAAATCAGGATTAAATCAAGCAATGCAGAAATAAGTATCAACTTTGTACAGAGCCCTGAATGACTAATTCTCTTGTCTGGGAATAGATCACTTGGTTCTAAAGGCTCTCAGAATTTGTGATTGACTTCTTGGGCCCTGGTTGGCCTGGCCTATTCTTGGCCAAGTGCTTTGCTGGACTTCCTGTGGGTGGCAGTGCCTTCTCCTTGGTCTGAAGAGTAATAATGATCACCACCACAAAACCCTCTAAAATAACTTGACAAACACTGAAATGGGGCTTCCCTGGTGGCGCAGTGGTTGAGAATCTGCCTGCCAATGCAGGGGATACGGGTTCGAGCCCTGGTCTGGGAGGATCCCACATGCCGCGGAGCGGCTGGGCCCATGAGCCACAACTACTGAGCCTGCGCGTCTGGAGCCTGTGCTCCGCAACAAGAGAGGCCGTGATAGTGAGAGGCCCACGCACCGCGATGAAGAGTGGCCCCTGCTTGCCACAACTAGAGAAAGCCCTCACACAGAAACGAAGACCCAACCCAGTGAAAATAAATAAATTAATTAATAAACTCCTACCCTCAATATCTAAAAAAATTTAAAAAGAGAGGAAAATAATTACATTTATAATTAAAAAACAACAACAACACTCAAATGGACTTACCCTCATAGCTCATTCATAAAATAGCCCCCCACGCCCTATCATGTTATTAATCTATAGTGCTTTATTTTGACCCAAACAATACCCACTTTGAATTGCTTTATTCCCCCAAACTTAGCTCTGCATAACTTTGGAATGTTTTGAAAAATGCAACTCCTTCCTCAAGGATCAAAATTTTTCTGCCATCTTCAGAAGGACATTCTGTAAACTTCGAAGGCAACTGCAAAAGAATAGCTCCAAAAAGGTCTCCGAGCAGCAGTTCTATACGATGGATTGGGTGGGCAGTCACAGAAAGTGACTGCTTTAAGGGGACAATACTTATCAGTATACAGTGTGAGCTGGAAAAGTCATCTTTTTCTAATCAGGTCTTGCTTTTGTATTATATCTCTTTATGCTTTGTTCCTCTTTTTACAAGCTCAGAAAGCCCATCTCATTTAATTCCATCTCAGACTGAATAACTAGCTATGGCACACATTGGTACCATTCTTTTGGATGTATTTCCCAGCAATATGAAAAACAATTTGAACACTTAGTTTAGTCTTTGCAGAAACCAAAACAGTTTATCACTTCTCTTGCTTTGGAAATTCCACCTCAATGAAAGTATGTTGATATGAAAACTGAAAACACCCTACAATTATCTTATTCACAAGGAGGAAGTACCAGGAGAATCATTCTGTTAGAAATCCTTATATCTCTCAGTGTTAGAAAGAAGTTTAGTAATTTAGCTGAGCATTATCAGAACTAGCAGCAGGGGGCTTCCCTGGTGGCGCAGTGGTTGGGAGTCCGCCTGCCGATGCAGGGGACACGGGTTCGTGCCCCGGTCCGGGAAGATCCCACGTGCCGCGGAGCGGCTGGGCCCGTGAGCCACGGCCTCTGGGCCTGCGCATCCGGAGCCTGTGCTCCGCAACAGGAGAGGCCACAACAGTGAGAGGCCCACGTACCGCAAAAAAAAAAAAAAAAAGAACTAGCAGCAGGGATTTTCAGAGGCTGAGGACTTTTCTTAAACTTAAAAAACTATCCACATATACTCCCCTCTCCCGTTTTAGTAACAAAACATCAAGTCCTGTGGCCAAATCTCCCAGAGCTGTAGTTAGAAACTGAGCATCTTCCTACATTTTGATGACAAAGATATTTACTTGATTCAGAAAAGATTCATGCGAATGCGCACTGAATCTAGACTACTGTGTCACAGCAAACAGGAAGTTTTTAGCAACAATTATGGCCAACCATTTTCAAGGTGAACCTAAATCTTTTAACTTTACCCTTCTCACAAAGTTAATGGAACTTTTACCCTATGGTTTCTATAACATGAAACAGTGTTCAGCTCAACTCCAGGCCCTAATCCATAATCCTGGATGCGGCTGTGGATTGTCCTGCATTTCAGTGAAGGTTGAGGTTAGCCTTTGGGTTCCTTTTGTAATTGGGACCCAGTTCATTGTTTTTTGAAGCCTAGGATTTTTTCTCTTATTTGGCGAGCATGAGGAAAAGGAACTGGGGAATGCTTTGCTGGGGGTTTTACGGAAAGGAAGTAAACGTACAAATTTGCTCTCACTTTTAAGGGAGAGAATCCCACTGTCCCATCAGATCAGCACAGAGAACAGAAAGGTTCTATTTATTAATATGTGAAATGCTCCAACGGAAGCTCCAAATATAGGGAAAGCAACATATGGTCAAGAGTAACTAAAAAGCTTGTGATTTGACCGTTTCTGTGAAGGCGGGGGCCAGCTTCACTCTGCTGGCTCCCACCTCAGAAACAGTGCCTCCCGGTCACGGTGGCCAGCTTCAAACAATCTACACACAATAAATGCTGGAGAGGGTGTGGAGAAAAGGGAACCCTCTCGCACTGTCGGTGGGAATGTAAATTGATACAGCCACTGTGGAGAACAGTATGGAGGTTCCTGAAAAAACTAAAAATAGAACTACCATACGACCCAGCAATTCCACTGCTGGGCATATACCCTGAGAAAACCATAATTCAAAAAGAGTCATGGGGCTTCCCTGGTGGCGTAGTGGTTGAGAGTCTGCCTGCCGATGTAGGGGACACAGGTTCGTGCCCCGGTCCGGGAGGATCCCACGTGCCGCGGAGCGGCTGGGCCCGTGAGCCATGGCCGCTGAGCCTGCGCGTCCGGAGCCTGTGCTCCGCAACGGGAGAGGCCGTATGGCAGCATCTTCAGGCAGCCTGGCGACCCTTAATAGTGCAGCCTGGGCTCCTGGAGGAAAATGATGCTAATTGGTCTGTGTGGGAATTGAACCCCAGGCCCTGGCTTCATTATCACCTGGTCAAAACGATGGAGCCACAAAGCGGATAATAACTGATCTGAGAATGTCAGTAATTACTTTATTAGAAACAAATGGCTGGTCTGGACGTTGGGGAACCTGAATTGCCAGAGAATCTTGGAAAGTGTAATAAGCTCTCATCTGGATGAAAAGTGTTTTCTCATCTCAGAGGGTAAAGGGTGCTATGTGGGAACAAAGAAGTGTTTTAAAAGTAGAGCTACTCATTCTTCCTTCAGTCTTAGTTAAGTTGAACAGAAGCCACAACAAGCCAACCACAATAAATTTAGAACTGGCAGAAACCCAAATTGCCTCCTCTTCCCAAGTTGCCCACATGACTACCATTTACAGTCATGGGTTTATAATATTGAATTGTGTAATTCATGAACTAGCTTTGATTTGTGGAATGAGGCATTGCCAAAGAAGCAAAGTAACAATTAAGATCCCACATTCCTTACCAGTCTCCCTACCCAGCTGCTACTTTAGGAACAAATTCCTGGGGATAATACATTTAATTTCCAACTTTGGTCAAGCTATACCTGTGTAAATGAACTTACGAAATAGAAACAGACTCACAGACATAGAGAACAGACTTGAGGTTGCCAAGATGGGGAGGGGGTGGCGGAGGGATGAATTGGGAGTTTGGGATTAGCAGATGCAAACTATTATACATAGAATAGGCCCTACTGTACAGCACAGGGAACTATATTCAATAACCTGTGATAAACTATAGAGGAAAAGAATATGAAAAAGAATGTATGTACATGTATAATTGAATCACTGCTATACAGCAGAAATTAACACAACATTGTAAATCAACTATGCTTCAATAAAAGAAATTTTAAAAAATAAAGTTTTCCTTTAAAAAAAAAATATATATATACATATGTAGTCATATCAGAACACAAGTTAAGCTAATATAACAAAAAGACCCGAAAATATAGTGGCTCCCCAAAAGGAGGAAGTTAACTTCTCTTGGGGGACAGCTGTTGTTCTCAAGCATTAACGTGCTCAGAGTCATCTGGAGGACTTGTGAGAGCACAGATGGCTGGGTCCCATCCCCAGAGTTTCCAGTTCTGTAGGTCTGGGGTAGACCTAGGAATCTACCTTTCTACCAGTCTCCCAAGTGATACTGATGGTTTATTGGGATGGATTTACTTTTAGCATTAGACTTTGGCATCACTAACTACGTTCGCTTAACTCTTTCTAATATTTTTTAAGTTGGTGGACTCTCCAGTTTCTCAGCGTGAAGGAAGGAACCCCCAGCTGAACTGATACTGACAATGGTGGCCTCCCTCAAAGAAGCAAAACAAAACCCTCAAGAGACTGCGTTCTACGGGCATCAGTTCTACTGGGTCATCAAGTTTCCTTTATGCAAAACGCTTAACTATTCTTGTACCTTTCAACTTTGACTAAAGTCATGATTTTCAAGCAGCATCTTCTGGTTTGAACTTGTTTGCTGTGAATGATTGTCCATAAAGAGTGTTCCAATTAATGCTCTTTACATCTTGGCTATTTGTCTATTAGATTCCAGTCCTTGTTCCCATTCACAATAAAAGCTTAAACATATTGTCCAAAACGCAGGTAGTTTTCTTATTTCAATTCCAAATGAGAAGACAGTGATTAATACTGAGATTAACAAACAGGTTGACAGTGAACTTGTGTGCTCATTGATGAAAGCAGGCTGAATTTTTAGCTTTGCTCTCTGAAAGCCACTTACTGACTCCTTGTAGTGACTTAGAGCCTTTATAGATGCCACTTACTAGAAGCTCAGACTTGCTTTATCGTTACCCAGTCGGATGGGCTATAGGTTGAACATAGAGGCAGGTCTTCTTCATGCCATAATAATTCCCATCTCTTCAGCCCTTACAATGACTAGGTATTTTGCTGATGTTATTGATATTCTCCTCAGAATAGTTTCATAAGCTGGAAATGATCCTTTTCACTTAATAGCTAAGGAAACAGAGTTAGGTCAGCTGACTTGCCCAAGGTCACACAGTAGATGGAACTGGGATTCAAACACCGGAAGTCACCAGATTTTCTGTAGCATTTGACAGTTTTTCTATTACCTCATTTTGAGCCCCTCTTTCGGTATATTTAAGCCTATCAAGTAGCACTGTTTCTTCAAAATTCCATTGCCAGCCTGAGAGAAGTATTCCCCGGAGCCAGATTTAGTCAGCTCCGCAGCAAAGGGAGAAGACTGGTTCCAGAGATTCCCTTCCGTTCTCAGAGAACGTGGCCTGGCGGTTCACAACACTCCCCAGTTCCATTTTTATCATGACATTCACACATTAACAGATTTTAAAGCTTTTTGCCATATGTTTGGATTTCCTTCATTTGGGGAAATCACATATGAAATGGTGAAGAGATTTATCTTGCCTTTGTTCTGATTATCAAAGAACCACAAAAGATGTGATGTGTCCTAATTTCTTTTAAAATCACGTTGATTCCCAACTTATCCAGAGCCAGACCAGGGAAAATAATGTGAGGTGTGTTTTCAGTGTCCTGCCGCCTTCCTCTTCTTGGGACGCCCTGGGCCTCTTTCCCAAGAACTCGATCCTGAGCTGAGTGCACTAAAGCCTGCCATGCAGCTGATGATGAAGGGGAAGCCCTATCACCAGGACTCACCCTCCAGTAGGACACTCATAAAGATGAAAACAACCTTCCAGACCCAGGGGACATTTCTCCAAGGGTGGCATTTCAGATAGGGAGAGGAAGACAATGCTTCTGGAATAACCCCATCTAGACAGTCACTTGTTTGGTCGTTTCATGAGAGTAGATGTGATCCTGTGTTTCAATTGCAATCATTTTTCCCTCATGTGCCCTGACCAAGACACAAGAACTGCTCACTTGAATCCCTTGACCCTTGCAGGCGCCTAAGTACCAAGCCCTGGTCAAGACTAGAATCCCTTTATCCATTTATCTGTCCTTGAATGGATAAAGAAGATGTGGTACATATATACATTGGAATATTACTCAGCCATAAAAGAGAATGAAATAATGCCACTTGCAGCAACATGGATGGACCTGGAGATTATCATACTAAGTGAAGTAAGTCAGAAAAAGAAAGACAAATATCATATGATATCACTTATATGTGAAATCTTTAAAAATGATACAAATGGGGAATTCTCTGGTGGTCCAGTGGTTAGGACCCTGTGCTTCCACTGTGGGGGGCCTGGGTTCGATCCCTGGTCAAAGAACTAAGATCCTGCAAGCCACGTGGCATGGCCGAAAAAAAAAAAAGATACAAATGAACTTATTTACAAAACAGAAACAGACTCACAGGTATAGAAAACAAACTTATGGTTACCAAAGGGGAAAGGTGAGGGGGAGGGATAAATTAGGAGTTTGGGATTAATATATACATACTACTCTATATAAAATAGATAACCAACAAGGACCTACTGTATAGCAATACTCTGCAGTAACCTATATGGGGAAAGAACCTGAAAAAGAATAGATATGTGTATACGTATAGCTGAATCACTTTGCTGTACACCTGAAACCAAACAACATTGTAAATCAACTATACCCGCCCCTCCCCCCCTCAAAAAAAAAAAGAAAGAAAAACTATTAGAATACCTTTACTTAAGAGATATAGCTTTCCGGGCTTCCCTGGTGGCGCAGTGGTTGAGAGTCCGCCTGCCGATGCAAGGGACGCGGGTTCGTGCCCCGGTCCGGGAAGATCCCACATGCCGCGGAGCGGCTGGGCCCGTGAGCCATGGCCGCTGAGCCTGCGCGTCCGGAGCCCGTGCTCCGCAACGGGAGAGGCCACAACAGTGAGAGGCCC